TTCCAGGCAGCCATTGTCTGCTCAGCTCTGAAATGTGTACACGGGGAACATGTATGAAAACTGGAAACACCCGGGGTCTCTCGTATGGCCGTTATGTCTCTTCTGCTCTTGACTGCATGCATGGTGGCTCAGTGGTTTGTTCCTTGCAGCACAGAGTCTCTAATTCAATTTCAAACAGGACTCCACTTGCATTGTTTATGTCCTTTTTGGGTTGTGGGAGGGAATGGGAGATCCTGAATCATAAACGCCTACTGCTAGGGTCACTGGTGTCAGTGTGTGACATTAGAGTGTAAGCTCTGCTGTAGGGGGAGCCATGTGTCCTGTACATGGCCATGGAATATGTCTGCACATTTATCAGAGGGATCAAAGCAACTCTGTGCTGGGGAGGTGACAGATGAAGTGACTTTGATGGGTAATTACTCCGTTCTCTTCTTGTGACCCTGTCTGTACAGGAGATGGGGGTTCTGGATAAACTGCTTATTACTAGGAAATCATACGGAACGATTAACTCTAAAACCTTCACAGACTTGGATAAAGCAAAGAGCAATGATGATACAAAGTGCTTTCCATCAATCAGATCTCGGTGTGTTGGAAATGATTGGCATTCTGATTGGTTAAGGTAAACTATTGCTCTTCATTAAAGAAGAACTCCGCTATGACATGTGAATCGCCACCAATCCAGAGTAGTCCGCACCAGATTCCTCCTGCAGGAGCAAGCACAGCTCATCACAGCCAACTCAGATGCTGCACCACAGGAGGCTTATGAAGGAGCAGATGAAGTGCAGCCTCATACAGGAGCTAGAACTCCAAACGCTGCAAGTGTGTGTGGCCGATGGAGCTGCAAGATTGTTCTTTTCCTGTAAAGGGGACTGTGTGTCTATAATTTGATTCAGTGTATCAATTAACTTTTATTTAACAGGCCTGAAAGTAACCCAACAAGGCAATAATACTTCTGCCATTGTTTTAAATAATAGCGGAGTTCTTCTTTAAGATCTGAGGACAGAATTGTGGAAGCGGCCGTTACTGACCTGGTTTCAGCGGTGTAGACGGCTCATCCTTGCCTCCGTGTATCTATAGACTTTTACAAGGAATGAGCATGCAGGATTGGATTTCAGACTTCACTGGCTGCATGTTTGCTCCCAGGTCAGATTCCCCTACGTAAACAAAATGTGTTTGGGCTAGCTACATAGTGTAGACCAGGGGTAGCCAAACTCCGGCCCTCCAGCTGTGGTGAAACTACAAATCCCATGATGCATCTCTCTCCGGGAGTCATGTGTGTGGCTGTGAGAATCTTGCAATGCCTCATGGGATTTGTAGTTCCACCACAGCTGGAGGGTCGGAGTTTGGTTACCCCTGGTGTAGACAGTCCAAGGGTTAACTAAAGATGGGGACTTGACCAACTTTAAAGTATTTAGAAAAATAATTTTAATTTCGTACAAAAAAGACAGCCAACACCTTCTTGGCAATACATTATGGCATTGGCATATTCTAAACCTTTGTCCAAACATCTCCAAAATAGTGGGTCCTAGACCCCCCCTACTGGCAGCACGAAGATCCCAAAACCTAAAGGATACCCTAGTGCAGTGGTGGCGAACCTCGGCACTCCAGCTGTTTTGGAACTACAAGTCCCCATGAAGCATTGCAAGGCTCTGACAGCCACAGACATAACTCCCAGAGGCAGATGCATGTTGGGATTTGTAGTTTTGGCACAGCTGGAGTGCCAAGGTTCGCCACCACTGCCCTAGTGAGTTCAGAATATAGATCAAAAATTCTATCCCAGGGATGTAGTAAACCAAAGGGGATGTTCCCCTGTGGGAAATGTCGGATATGGCCCTTTTGTGGACAAAACCAACCAATTTTAGAAATACAGAGGGTACGAAAATATATAATATAACCAATTTTGTTAACTGTGACACTAGCAAAGTAATTTACCAGCTGGAATGTCCCTGCCGCAAGTATTATATAGGCAAAACAAAGACCGTTACGGACCCGAATTGGAGAACATCTGAATGATATCAGAAAAAAGGACAAGGATAGCCCTATAGCCACACACTTTGCGGAGTTTCACGGTGGTTCACCTGATGGTTTAAAAGCAAAAGCGATATATGTATTAAACTTAGCCCCTCGTAGAGGGGATTTTGACACCGTTCTCCTCCAAAAAGAAAAAAAATGTGGGTCTATAGGCTGAACACCCTAGTTCCTGTGGGTCTTAAAGGAGAACTATGGGGTCAGTGTTTTCCCCCATAGTTCTCCTGAGGGTAACGGGAGGACACAAACTAGCGTCCTCCCGTCACCCTAAGCTCAGTATATAGGGAGCTACAGCTCGCGGTATACTGAGACGCCGCAGCGGATCCCGACAATTGTGCCGGGATCCGCCCAGCTGCGTGAGTGACAGCTGGCTCTGCCTATCTAGAGGCAGAGCCAGCTGTACCCGCCCCCTCCCCCGTCCGTTCCGCCAGTCAGCGCTGGCAGATCGGAG